CAACCGTTTTATGATTGTCTGCTGAGATAGGACCATTCTTCTAGATCTAAAAGTATGATCCAATTAGCGCGAAGGAAACTTCCAACAGTTGCAAAACAAACGTTCTGCTGAACGCAGCCATTGATTTATACATTTAGGACGGAATCCATAGACGGTGCTGAAGATTCGAGATGGTCTTAAGCTAGTGCATGAACCAAACAGAGAGCCATATTAGCATGCAACAATATGTAATCAACACTGTCACTAAAGTCGGAATCAGACTAGGCAGTGAAGATTGAGATTGAAAGATTGAAACTTAACCAAGAACAATAGGAACTAAAATTCCTTTGCCCTCATTGGTCAAATTTTAATCTTCAATCTTCAATCTCAATCTTCAATGCGTAGTCTGATTTCGGCCTTACTGAGCGCTCAGTCATTCTTTATTCCTTATTCCTTCTCAATCATTCTTTATTCCTTATTTCTTCTATTGATATCAATTTATTGGCGCTAGAGTGGGTATAAAGAGAGTGAAGCCAATTAACCGGAAGTCGCCATTTTACGACAAATATTTATGACGTAATTCCTCATCCTAACCTTTCTTTTTCTAACGTCGTTTTCCTCTAACTAATGCGGGGTCTACAATAGAAGTCGTAGGGTCTTAAGTCGTAGAAAATTGACCAATCACAGTTGATTATACTTCTCATATTCGACTGCGATTAGTCAATTTTCTACGACTTAAGACCCTACGACTGCTACGACGTCTATTGTAGACCCCGCATAACAGTTAATCGTAAAATGGCGGAACCAATCAGGAAGGAGAACCAGGATTGTTTTCACTCTCTTTATACCCACTCTAAGGCCGGAATCAGACTATGCATTGAAGATTGAGATTGAAGATTGAAGATTGAAATTTGACCAATAAGGACAAAGAAATTTTAGCTCCTTTCGTTTCGATTGGTCAAATTTGAATTTTTCAATCTTCAATCTCAATCTTCAATGCATAGTCTGATTCCGGCCTAATTGGTGCAGGGTCTGATACGGGCATAAGGATGTCGGTCTTTAATAGTATCTCGTCGGTGGTTGGCTACTTTGGGCTACTTGAGCGCCACCATTCGGCTACTCGTGACGAAAAATATCTGGCAACACTGCACAGTCTACATCAAAAATGAACATCACATCACATATGTAAATGGCGATGAGTATATGTAACGTAACGACGATAAAGAAAAAATTACTTACGGTGCAAGTGCTTTGTTAAGTCGATCCATGGTCGATCCGTTAACACAAAATCTAGTTCGCGTTGTTAACGGATGAAATATATATATATAATCAATCTGTTTTTTCCGTGGTGGTAAACGACACTTCTGCAAAAGGATGACGAGTTGACCTATCACGAGGAATGGAATGTCTTTTACAACGGTACGCTCCAACGACAGGCGTACGTATCAGCGTATGTGCCTGCGCGTGTGTAACACGATTGATGCGCCTATGATGTGTGAATATATTAAATCTATCGAAATTGATTATT